ACTGTTATTCTGTCACTTGTATGAAGGTACGTCCTAATGTGACGTCACTACGTTGACTGTTGTCAGTCTGTGAATAAACTTACCGGAGACATGCTGAAGAGAATACCGAGTCTGATTTACTTATTGTTCATACGCGATTCATGTGCACCCAAGCTTAACAAATAGGCTTCGGTTTGCCCGCACTGATTACTATCAATGAAAAAAAAAACACTTTGATTTAAGCAATAGAGCAACATCACAGTTAGTCGTTAGTTCGATTCATTGCCTGATTTTAATGATATTATCAAGCTCTGTTATTCACGTTCAACCACATGTCTTTTTGTCCATGCTCAGACTTCTGCTCATACAGCAGTTTAAACATATCTCAATCACAGATTTCTAAAGTCTAAAGTGAACTACAAAAGCAATTAGAGACAACTGTCTCAAGAAAGAAATCATGGAAATTAGGAACATTTGAGGAAAGACTTATTGTAGTAGTATTCGTTTATTTGGGGGAAATGGGTTGCAGCACATCACAAAGGCATTTAAAAAATATATATATGATATCGGCAGACATGAGAGGAGGGGGGCGGGGGACAGTGCCAGACCAGCTGGGTAAACAGTCCGTCCTAGATATCATTGATTCAGGAGTTTGATGGCTTGTGGGACGAAAGACAGCCTAGATCTGATCTTTTTAAACAGAGGGGCCCGATATCTCCGCCCGGATGGCAGCAGTTCAAAATAAGAGTTAATAATAATAATAATAATAATAATAATGGATTTAATTTATAAAGCACTTCATATTTGAGTTCAAATCCTGAAGTGCTAAGAGGGTGCCTCAGGTTTTAAAACTCTGTCCTTGTGTAAGCTTTCTATACTAGAAAATGAGATTCCTCACAATTTACTGGACAATGTTAAACGATAACACCAGATAATTGAAAACTTTATTGCCATGTACTTTTATTAAATATTAACATGTAAAAGCTTCTTCAATAAATACAGAAGTAAATTATAATCATGTTTATGTGTTTTATTTCTTTATGCCAATGACAAATGGTTTGTTTACATCGGTTCATGTATCTTTTTGTTATTCACATTTCAACCTGGCTTATCAAAAGTTAGGATTTGTGTTTGTACAGCGGTTCATATTGTACAGTCATTCAAAGCCTGATTTACATCATGTTTCCTTCATTGTATTCACATTTACAGAGTCTCCTGTTCACATTGGTAAAACCTAAAGTTAACAATAAAAAATAATCATGACACATAGGTTAATATATCTTTCATAGCCTCACATTTTATTTCTAAACAAATTGAAAAGCTGGATGCTCTCAGTCACCAGCCTCAGTCATCAGGGAACAGAGTGATCGACATCTGAAACATATAATAGGTCACTTTTAAGGAGGAGAGAACAATCCCTGCTCCTATGTTTGATGATTTGCCTGACCCGGACTACCCTCTGGTCCAAGAGGAAAGCTCTCTGGGTGTTAATAGCATCTCCTATTGTTGAAGAAGAGAGGAAGTTAGAGGAGACGGATGTTGTCAAGTCCACAAGTTATTCTAAACATAAAAACAAATTATTGCAGTCAAGCAGTTTTTTTTCCAAAGTGTGGATTCATCGCATGGTGGCACAGCTAAAGAAAAAATATTTTAGCCAGACCCAAAAGTGGGAACCATCAGTTGAATGTCTATCCGAGGCAGTTGGCTCCTGACAGATGGTGGTGAGGAACCACATAGGGGGAAATAAATGAGTGTTTTCAGAAGGTTAAGTATTGTACTTTTGCTATCTCTGCACCCTGACAAACATTAGCCACCTTTAGCTTAGCGGTGGTGACGTGAAGTCATGTGACCGTGCTGTAGTTCCTTTACAGTCCAACATTAGCTGCCTTTAGCTTAGCGGTGGTGGCGTGAAGTCATGTGACCGTGCTAAAGAAAAAATATTTTAGCCAGACCCAAAAGTGGGAACCATCAGTTGAATGTC